GCTTTTATTTGGCATGCATTTTAGCTTTTTTTTTTAAAGATATATGTGATACATATTTAATTAAATGTTTTTACAATTTTGTTCTGACAGTCCCATTGACTCATTTACAGTTTTTCTATTACACAATAAGAACCTGATTGGATGGAAATGTATAAAACCATTTTACTTTAGATTTCAAACAGTGTCTGATAGCATCTGCTATGAGGTCAAGAGGTCAAAGCTGAAAGAAAAAAAGAAGTATCATGGTAAAGAGAGACAAAAATGCAACGTCCTCTTATGAGGACACAGGGTCTCAGGAGCTTAAATGTTTTTTTTGTTTGTTTGTTTTTTTTATACTTATTTTTTATTGAACATTTCTGAACACATACAGTGGAGAGGCATCAATACATTCAACTTCATACACAACGTTGGAGAAACGTGTCCATATTTAACTGGGTACCAGAGTGGCTTTCTCCTTGCGTTTGTATTCGCTCCATTTTTCCCATTTAACATCAATAAAATTTTAAATGTTTTACCTTATTTCCTGCAACTGTGATATCTGTACAGCACTTCGGTCGACCCCAGCGGTTTTAAATGTGGTTTATAAATAAAGTTTGAGTTGAGTTGAGGTTAAAGGGAACTACAAAGCAGGGACGTCCCCATCCAGCTTTTTGCACCCAACCCGGCCTATCAGAGCATGTGTTAAAGTTTAAAGTTATTTATCTACTTACTTAGTTGTCAGACTCATGTTGAACAGGGATTTACTCTGATAACTACTAGCAGCTGAATTAGGGGAGTCTGAATAACACACACTGGTTGGTAAAGAGACACTGACCTGTTTATTCAGGGATAAACACAATATAGACTAAATTATAAATAACTGAAATAACAGAAATGGCATCAGTGAACAGTAAAAAGTGCAAATAATATGGTAAACCGTATTAAAAAAGGCAAAACACACAAACAACCTGAATAGAAAATAGTCTATTAACTCTGTTTTACATCCACCTGTTCTTATTTTTTGTCCTTAAGGATAAAATAATCCCAAAACAACTGACATTTTTACCGACTGTTTCAAATCAACAGACCTGTGGGTCAGGAGACCAGATATTAGGGAACAACACAGCAAAGGGGAATGGATTATTTTATTCCGAGTGCTGGAAAACATGGATTTAAACAAAAAAAAAGGATCTGGAGTCTGGATCTGCATTTTCTCCTGCCGTTCGCTTAGCATTTTTTTGCAAATATCGGCTGGTCCCAATCCGATCCAGATATCGGATCGTGACCACAGAGGTAATTTTTTTCTAATTTCCCGATTCTCTGTCTCTGTTTTTGTGTCGTTTCGCAGCTCGTCGGATCTGAGCAAAGCCGAGCCGACGCTCACACACATGAGCATCAGGATGCTGCACAAGGAGAAGCTGGTGGGTCTGAGCTCTGGGGGGGGGAAAGAGGAGCCTCTGAGTCCTTAATGTTCAAATGTTCACCCCTCTGTGTGGGGGGGGCACAGGTGCAGCATGTGGTTTCCCAGAACTGCGACGGGCTTCACCTGCGGAGCGGCCTCCCCAGAAACGCCCTGTCAGAGCTGCACGGGAACATGTTCATAGAGGTGAGACGCCCCTTAAAGTCCCATTATCAATCAATTATCAGCAAAGCATTGCAAAAAAAAAATAGAGGAACAAATTAACTCACTGGCTGCCAAAGACGTCTATAGACGTCTTTTATGTTTTTCATCGAGAGTGGCTGGGGGACGATCTGCTAAAGCTTGTCCGTAAATATCAGGCTTCTAGACAGAGTATGTAGTAACAAATTGACCCTCTAGGGGGCATTGCCACTTTTGATGGGAGATGAGCATAGACTGTAGGCAAATAAGAAAAAGGTAACGGTTCGCTATGAGAGAACATGTCGCCGGTGAGACGCAAGTCCAGGAAGAACGGAATAAGGTAGAAACAAAAAATTTTCCTGATGAAAGAAGAGAGTCTACTCTTTCTTTTGGTGTGTTCGGTGTTTACATAGTCATAGCACAAACTATTCTGTGGCTCTTGAAAAATCAGTGAAAATGCTCAAAAAACTCTGGCAGTCAATGAGTTAATAAACCAGATGGGTCTCACCAGCTCATCCAGCGAAAAAAGAGATAAATCCTCCAAGACATGGCTTCTTTTTTATACTCTATACATAATATTATGTTAAAATAGTGGATGTTAAATAGGTTTGTACAATAAGTCCAAACAAGTTTAACCAAAAAATATTTATTTCTCAATATTATGAAGGCTGGAGGGTCAGGGTCAGGGTTAGGATTAGGTTGAGGGTCAGGGTTGGGTTTTGGGTCAGGGTTAGGTTTAGGGTCAGGGTTAGGGTCAGGGTTAGGATTAGGGTTAGGGTCTGGGTTAGGTTTAGGACATGGTTTTTTTTCTGATTTCTTATAGACCGTAAAATTTCGTTTCCACCTCAGAAAGCTGTTAGTC